TGAAAGTTACCGAACGTCCTATTGTTTACAAAGCAAGAAAGTAATATCTATTAATCTCTGAAATTTCTTATTATTTTAAATAAGGTTTCGATTTTGTTCAATTTTATTAATTTATTTTGATGCAAGACTTAATGCATTCCTATATTTTAGGCTTTTAAAGTCTTTAAAATGTATACCTATAAAAAGATTTAAATTTTTCTTATAATCTATTTCACCGACTAAATCCGTAAACGCTGTTGGATAACGATATCGTATCCGAATCGAACGTTTAACTCGAATGTTCTGAATATCTCGGAAAGCGTCCTTCGATTCGAGAACGGAGAGTGTGCGATGGAATTGCATAATTTGATTCCGCCTTCCCCTTTCCATCATCGGGAGACAAGACGTGGGCGGGGGTTCTACCCCTATGTTGTGGATATTCCCCGGATTCGCACGAAGCGTTTCGCTTCCACATTTGTATGGCGAGCGGCTAGGGAGTGGAATTCCCTGCCTGCAGACTTGTTCCCCGAACGCTATAACTTGGACCTTTTCAAGGCGAGAGTGAATAGGCATTATTTAGGTGTGCATGCTACATCCTCGACCTCATCGTCACTTTCCATTAGGTGAGATGAAGGTCAAATGCGCACTTATTTTTTATATAAAAAAATATGGAAGATTTCTGAATCGGGGTCCTGATGGCACAAAATTAGCATATTGAAGACGTCCTTAGATGTTGCCAAACTACTTTCCTTGCACATCAGTATGAAAAAGGTACACTTTTGCGTTATGATTCAGTAGAGGTTCAGTAAGAGACTGTTGTTTAAATTATGAATACGATCTGGACAATTCGTTTCATAAAAATCTAATCGTAATGCACATCCCTAACTTGTGGTACGTACTTTACACGCGTACTGACCTTAAATAAATTATTATAAAAATACTTTTTTATCATACCAAGTGACGGGACTAACAATTCGTGAGACTGGTGTTAAGCGACACGCTTATTCATAGCAGTTGCTGTGGCACTCAGAGCTTTAAATAGGATAGATCTGAGGGATATTACTCCTTGAGACATAAGTGTCCCGTTTCGCAAGCACCCTTACCTTTCAAAACCGGAACGCAGTAATGCTCACATTACTGCTTGGCGGCAGATATAGGCGATGTGAGATTTTCATAGTAGACATAGAAATGAGACTGCTGTGACAGTTATAAATTATATTGTGTATAATGTATGTTAGAAATAATTTGTCTTCATTTGGTACTGTGAATGTTTCTGGCATCCCACTTCGCCGTACCGGTCATTTGAGAACAGTCCCTCGACGCATGGCACTTGCAGAGAAAAACCCGCGTGTCATCGGACCTATTTACTATGAGCGTTTACCCCATTGACTTACAAATAAATGGACGACGGGTCTAATACAAAAACCACGAAAAAAATGTCCCAAGTCAACCTATTCGAAATTTAAATTGTAATGTCATCGCAGTATCGCGCTGTCAGTAGAACAAATGAAGACTAAAGCGGAGTGTCGCGCTCTGTATACGATTTTAGCGCCTTACAAGTGCGGACACTTTTTAGCGCGGACCCGACGTCCATATAATTGTAAGTCAATGGTTTACCCGCTACTCTCAAACTTGAACCGTCTGACGAAATATTTGGGCGCCGGCTGAAAGACCTTTTCTTGAAAAATCCTATATACTCCGTAAAAGAATTTATGGACTTTAAATTGTAACGAATTCAGTATTTTCTATATTTTTATTGTAATTTTTACCGCATTAACATACTCTTGTATAATTGTTATCAACTTATGACGATCCTTGATGGAGAATAATATTTGATATATAATTTAATGACAACAATATTATATAATGAATTGTTAATTTTCTAATTATTGTGTGCTTTTCTTATAATTTTCCTTTTTGTCTGATGGTCTCAATATAATTTCTTATACTTTGACATGTAGTGCAATTTATACTGTAATGTTATATTTGAGAAATAAATGAATCTGAATCTGAATCTATTATAATATCTTTTTACTATAAATCCAAACAAAACAGGACCATGTCCTTTCTCATCAAATATGTTTTTCGCAGTGGCGACCGCCTGTCAGCGTTCCGGTAATACGTACCATTTTTTATTTCTTATTTCGATAAAACAAATACCTAATGAAACAAACCAATTTTATAACAAAAGAAAATAAAATAAATAATAATAATTAAATAACGCATACACTTACAGCCCCGCACTTATCTATGAGAGAAACCCTGTATCGCGAATGCCATGGACATATACATAAAGAACCACAAATTACACCCAAACTTACGAGACAAATAAATGTAGGCCTTACAAATATTTCTCCCGGCCCCGGAATCAAAACCGGAACCTCTGCGTAGCAGACTAGTATTGTAACCGTTCAACCACGCAGATAGTTAAATAAATAAAGTCACGATGCGTTAACAATAAGGTAGGTAGGCAGTGCTTCCCTGGACGAACTCTTTCACAAGGAGCTCTACTGCTACTAGACTGTATATGATATTTTTATTTTATCTTTAACACAACACTAAAAAATATGTATAATATTAGCTTTATTCCAAAACGACTAAGTAATTCCTTTTTTTTTACTGGTAGAGAATGCCTAATGGCATTTGTACTGTTTTTGTGTGCAATTAAGTTTAAATAAATAAATAAAAATAAATACGAATCGAAAATGCGACTTTCTGCGGTCAGCGACAAGTAACACAGAATGGAGGAGATGGGCTTTCCATTAAATAATTCTTTTCACACAATACGTAAAAAATTTGCAGAGAAAAAGCTAAACACCTCTACAATTTGCTGGTTTTAAGTATTCGTCTCTAGAGGCAGTATGTAGATTACCTTTCTCAATTAAATATTTAATTATCCTTATTATCATTCCTCAAGGTTTCGAAAGGCAGAAGAAGAGAATTTGCTAAATAGTGTATTAGCGTGAATTGGAACGTGAAAATAGATACTGAATGAGGTCAAACCGAAATTGGTATTTATCAGAATTAGAATTCTACGCGGGTGGTAATGTTTCATGATCGAGGCGTACGCTTCATTGAATTTATACTATAAACACGATACTATTGTATTTATATTATACATTATATACTATTTATAAATAAAAAAAAACAAAATAACTCTACTAGGTTTTCGCGATTGTTGCTTGGAAATGGAAGTATTATTTGTCCTGATCTGAAATAGCATTTCGTCAGCTGTGACCATAGGACCTGTAAGGAGGACCAAAATGTTCATCATAATTCTGTAGCAGTAGTTGTGGTAGTAGTCTGTAGTAGCTGGTAGGCAGCTATGTAGACAGCTATATATCGACGCCCTTAATTTTTTGTCGGATAACCGCATTTCCAATCTTGTCCTTCAGAGAAACTCCGAGCATAGCCCTTTCCATGACTCAGTGACTTTTAACTAGTGGGAAAAATGTTAAGCTAATTCAATATATAAAGCGTGTACTTAATAACGAACATGTTAATTGGGCCTATGACGTAGCTACAGAGGATTATGGACAACCTGCGCTGATATTCCGCGCCGTATTTGGTTTTTTCGCTGCATGTATTATTGTTATTATTCATAATGTAGTGCATGCTATTTATTACAGCAGACTTTCCTGTTACTTTATTATGCCTATAAGGAAGCAATGAGAAAAAAAAGCATATCGCGTTTTCCCGCCTTTTAGTAATTTTGTCCTAAAAACAAACTAGGAAGGAATAAAAGCTATAAAATAATAAATTAAATTGCAGTATGATTTATTTTCAATTGTTTTGACATTCACCTAACAAATAAAATGGCGACGGCATCTCTCTACGTAAGTTAATACTGAAACGGAATATTATGACTTTTATTGTACAATTTATTTATTATAAATTATTTCACTGCGCAAAGATTGTTGGCGATTACTCCAAAGATAATGCTATAACACTTAAATAAAAAGCCATGCATAAGCAAATAGAAATAATTTGTCTTTGTTAACTTGAATTAATAAAGTACAATTAATTAATATTCGTAAAAACTTCGTAGATTTTGTGCCTTACTGAAAATTTGTTTCCTTTTATGATGTTACCTTTAGGTACATAGAAAAAATATATATAGGTTGTCATCTTAATTAGCGTTTTGTCATCTTAATTAGAGCGTTCCCGCCCGTCATTAATATAACTTTTCAATGTGAAATCGCAAAAATATGTCAGTTATTTTATTACAAACTAAGTATTCATATCCAGCCGAACAAAATACACAGTACAGTTTTTTTGTGGGTGTTTTGGCTTCTGTTCCACTGACGACAATTCTGCCAGTCTTCGGGTTGAAAAATACACGGTTTATATCAAGATTGCCAGGAACGCACTCAAGAGACGATGAACGGTTGTAGCATCCTATGGACAAAGAAAGACAAAACACGAGTTTTGACTAACTAATGTCGCAATTGATTTATTAATAATATTTGTTATCTCTATATAGGTCTAATTTTTTTAAAATAGAAATTAGGCGGCAAACATATTGAGTACGTAAAATCTATCAACATTTAGTCTATATATTATAAGTAACATGACTAATCTATCATCTTATGAGATTCATCAGTTTAAGCGTTATTGTCAATGGTTTAGTAGTTAATATATGAAGCATCAATCAAAAGACTCCCACGTTCAAGTCAACCGTGTGACATTGGTGACATAGTTGCTTTGATAATCTGTGTTAATTGTTTAGTATTGTTGATGTTAAGTTTAATAGCTATGGCAAGTGTTTAGTCGTTAGTGTCATTTTTTTGTCATGATTTTTAATCCTTCTTTGATTCGGTGCGCTAAAAGTAATTTAGTTTCTTTTGAACATTTTGATGATGTCTATAAACTAATATAACTTTAACTTAATTTAATTTAATTCGGCCGACGTTTTAAATTTTTTTTTTTTCAAATTTTGTTGTTAGCGTCACCATTCGACAAAATTATTTTTGTACGAGTAAAGCACTTGTTACTAAACAAACTATTATTTGTTGTTACAGGAAACCCCGCCTCAGAGTTCAGCCGGCACAGTCTAGTCCGCCCTACTCTGCATCATGCAAGGACCAGGAGAGAGATTACAACCACTCGGCATACGGTAAATACTTAATCAACTGTGCTTACAGACGATATTGAACTGCTGTCTTCAAGGAGAGACTTCACCTCCTATGTCTGTCCTATCGCCTGTACAATAGCTAATGTTCTGAGGAGTGTTTGACTTGATGCCAACAGCATCATTTTATCGTCGCACCGCTCGCCAACGGCAGGGAGTCCATCCTCACACTCTGGAACCGAGTCTATCTCGTTCTGTACGGTTTCAGAGAAGCTTGCTCCCACGTACTACTAGGTTGTGGAATGAACTCACTGTTGGGGTTTTCCCGCAGGAATACAGCGTGGAGTCTTTTAAAAGGGGTTTGATAAGGGTCCTAAAGGGTTGGTAACGCGTTCGTGATGCCCCTAGTGTTGCAGGCGTTCATAGGCGACGGTGACCGCTTTCCATCAGGCGGGCCGTATGCCTATTAGCTGCCTAGGTACATAATATAAAAAAAACTTTAAATAATATGCAAATTATTTTCTTGTTTACGGAAGAAAAATAATATCAATTTTTACGCGTTGCAGGACGGCCACCACCCGGAGGTGACAATGTCAGTAAACATAGACGACGAAGACTACGTATTGGACTTGCGGCTCAACGAAGACCTGGTGACGGAAGGCCATATTATCCAGTACCAGGAGAACGGGAAGACTGTACAGAAGACGCCTAGTAGAGAGGTTCGTATGGTTAACAAATTTCGGCTGAATTCTCGACAGTACTTTTATTTATGGTGCGAAATCAGTTTACTGCTGCTACGTACTGAAAGACCAAGGTTTAATTAACCCAGCATTTTGGTCGAAAGAGATTTACAACTTTCGTAGCCCAATGGCACCGTGGGTGTTGGATGAGGACGCCCGGTAGTCCAATTAGGGAAATGAGCTTTTGTAAATTGGATCAGGTGGAGAAATGGTTGCAGGTAGTGCCCCGGGGTGAGTTCCGTGGTATTGGGGATTGTAGTAATAGAGCTGTGAAAGAGTCCGTTCAGGGAAGTACTGCCATCTTATCTATTTCTGTCGCCAAGCACTAAAGTGAGCATTACTGCGTTCCGGTTTTTGGCCGACTTAAAAAAAGGCGGGTTCTCAATTGGACTATATTTTTTATGTGTGTGTTACGCGATTACTCCGGCCGGCATTTGTGAACCGATTTTGATGAGTCTGTTTTGAAGGAATACCTGAGTATTGGACCCATTTAAATTTGAAGAAAGTATTCCACCTCTACGGGTGGCGAACTAGGGGATGAATCCGGTTTCGAGCACTTTCCGGTAACCGATTTCAATAATACTCGGCAAATAGGTGTAATTCCACGAGCTACTGAAATCGGTTTTTTTATAAAAAAATTATAATTAAGGGGGCAAGGTTGCTGGTAAAATTACAGGCACACGAGACTTATGTCTGAAGGTGACGGGCGCAGTGGTAGTGCCCCTCAAATCTTTACGATTTAAAGCTCTGAGTGACACTGCAACTGTTATGGACAGGCGTGTCGCTTAACACCACGCGCACCACTTGTTCGTCCCGTCACTTGGTTTCATGAAAAAAAAAAATGATTCCCTAGTTTGAAACCTGTGCCACTACCATGAGATTACGTTGACAGTTATCGCTAGCGACCGCGTAAAATGTTTGTATACATAATGTTGTTTCTTCTCGTGACCGCTAGGAGCGCTGTATAACTTGCCATACGAAATTGTGAAGTAATTTACGCGGTCCCTAGCGACAACTGTCACAGTACTGTTGTGAGTGACATGGTATAGGCATAGGCAATTGGTGTGGTTGTCTGGCACATCAAAAGTATTATTACAAAATATTGACGTTTCAACACAAAGTGTGGAAAAGCTTTTGTGAGAAGCCTACTCCGTTCATTCATCTATCTAATAATTTTCTATTATCAATTTTCCAGGAGTTGGATATATGTCAGTATTTAGGCACGGTGAGAGACAAGGAGAACTCATGGGTGGCACTTTCAACCTGTCACGGCGTCAGAGGTGTTATATTTGATGGAAAGAAGATGAAGCACATTGAGCCTGCGCAAGGTTAATAATTTACTTATTATACATAACAATTATACAAATTGTTTGTGTAATTGGTTTAATTATTAAAGCTAATTATATAAAAATAAGCTTTCTTTATTCTGTACTAATTAAAACTTTTATTTTAGACACTGTCCCTAATAAAATAAAATGTTCCTTTATTTATGTACACACCCATTAATAAATTTAACATTACTTATTATTATTACATTACATTGCATAACAATTAAATTGAATTTTATTAACGGAAAATTATTATTATTAATGAAGTAAATAATTAACAATTAAATTAAATAGAATTTACATTACAAATAATAGTATAATAATAATTTATTTATTTATATTTTAATAATGGAGTGTTCGCTTACAAAGAAGCACTAATATGTTAGTAATAAAAATCTTATAGCCAACATAGGTTAACTTGTAAGGAAGTTATACATCAGAAATAGAAATAGAAAATCATTTATTCCTTAAAAAAATAGCACAGTATGCATGCATTTTATAATAAGAATAACATAAAGACTTACACACAGGACTAATTACAAATAATAAAAAGTACAATGCGTGTGTGTTGTGTTGCTATGAAAACCGTAAGCCACGCTTGTTGTCGTCTCACATAAAGTGCTACGATGCTGATTTTTAGCGGATCCGGAACAGAACATATTACATTAGATTATATACTAAGCCTCTAGAACCCAAATGAACCTAGTTCCAAAGCTTCCACATTTCCCTAGCAGTGTCTCCCAAATCAAGCGCACGAGGCTGTTGGAACTTTCACGCACGCAACGCATCGAGTATATAACCAGAAATAGAGACGAAATGTTATTGCTATATATATATGCTATGTATTCTGCCCTATTATAACTGTGACAACTGCGCTCCGATTGGCCAGTCCGAAACAATTGATGGGTGTTGTCAATTGTTTCACTTCAAATCGACCAGTTAACTTGAGCTTTGCTATAATAGGCGAAAATTGCAAAATTACATATTTAATATTTAATTACCGATGAAATTTGATTCTGTTTTGTTTTGTGATTAGATGTTTTGCTGCTTTTGCCCACACCACCGAATGGAACAGCGCCCTATTGTTAGAGATATTATCTTTATAACAAAAAATACAGAATATTTTTGGAGTATACGGAGACATACACACAGGTCAGTTGTTGGCCTGTTTATATTTCAGTGCAAACGAGTGTTGATATTTATAAGTGATGTATCACTGATGAGTTACCAGGAAAGTATGGCCCTTATTTCGTCTCTATTTCTGGTTATATGCTCGATTACGCAACGCAACGGACATGCCTGATGCGCTATAAAAGCTGCCACAGTTATGATATGGTGCTGCCACAGCACCAAAATCATCTTAAAACCATTGTCATATTGAAAGTATTATTCTTCGCTTACAGATAACGAAATAACATCCCAGCACTACATTTATGATCACGGAGATCTGAAGCAGAAGTTCCATTGCGGTTTTAGCAGCGGCGTGACCAATAACACTAATTACGACCCTTTGCTTTTAAGTAAATATGTCGCACAGAATGAGAGGGATAAGAGTAGGATTAGTCGGGTGAGTGTCCAAAATAGCTGCAGGTTTCTTTAGATCGTGTTTGAAAAATATTGAGGTACTTACTTTTTACCTTTACATATTATCATAGACTATAAACATGTGTAGCAACACATGTGTAAGTTTGCGTGTGTTGGTGAATCGGTACATGACATAGCAGCGACGAATGAGAAACGTTACCCAATCTCGTGGAATATTTTGAGGCGCCATCTATTGGCACATAATTGAACAACGTAGTTATGAACTGTCACCTCAACCGTCCTTAGGAAATTATTGGCATCACTACTATTGGGTAATTTTTCGAAAAATTTCAAATAGTGGAAATTTTTTTGGAAAAATTATAAATTTTTCCAGCAAATTTCATAAAAAGAAAGCTCATATTCTGTTCTACATTTACAAATATCTTTTGAAGTTTTATATAGCGTGAATTATAAAATGCGCTTGTCTAACTAAAAGCCACATGACAAAAGACAAACGAGAATTAAAATGATTTCACAACAGCTAAAAAAACCTTCAACAACCACACCCTCACCACCTGTTGTTGGCTCCATCGTTTTCGTTCAGTAACTTCAACTATTGACAGGGGTCAACGACAAATGTGGAAAAGTAAAGGAAAATAATCCGGAAAAATGTTTTTTTTTCTGAAAAATATTAGTTTTTCAAAATGGAAATTTTTCCACGATCCAACATTAGGCGTCACACACATCTATTCTTGTTGACAATCTATAACTGTAAATAACAAAGATGTATGATTGAAATAAAAAAAATTAACCACCTCAGTCAACCGTGACCTGTAAAGGGCCCGAAACGTCGGTTTGTTTGAAAAAACAAACCGACGTTTTAAATCCGGAAAAATAGTTTCATTTCCTAAAAAACAATTAAATTATCGTTTTTATTTCCAGTACAAACGAGACACATCAGTAGAAACGAAAGTCCTGGGACCGTACAACGCGAACGAGAACTCTCGATATGTAGAGCTGGTACTGGTGGTTGATCACAGAGAGTACCAGGCCAATGGGGGAAGCTTGCGACTTGTTCACAGTCAGATGAAAGACGTCGCCAATATTATCAATTCTGTATGTTAAATAACTTAAATATATAAATATTAATAGATATTTGAACTTTTATTGAATTGACATTCAATTATTTTTTGTGATATTACTCCACAAGTTTGCTATAGAAATCGATCTTTGTATTAATAATTATAACAAAGTAGTGGAGTAATTACACAAAAAATAATTGAATATCAATTCAATAAAAATTAAATACAGCGAATAGCGACATCTCTAGCCGGGGCTGGTAGCTGTAAAGGTATCTAATTGGGTGACAAAATACTTTAATCGATTTGTCATATATGCCGCTACGACTAACTCTTTGAAAACCAAATACAAAAATCCGACAAACAAGCACATAGAGTCGTGAGGTCCGCTGGTTCATTCCGTGGCTTAGTTGGCATATCGTCTGACACGATTTGCTAGAAGAAGTCGGTTCGAATCCGGCCGGTTATTATTAATAGGTATCTTAAAATAATTTACAACGCGTCCTTCCTATGTACACACTACCGTAGTAAAGTAATTGTTAGACACACATTGTAAATATACATTCAGTCAAAAAAGTATCGGGAATGGATGATTTGTTTACGGTTCCAAATTCAAATTTTTGTTTTTTTGTAGTTGTTAGATTGGCACAACTGTTTTCCATTTTGGCGCGAAGTTTGAGTTGCATCTGTTATTTATTTATTTATTTATTTTTTAATTTATTGCTGGCCATGGAAACAAAGTCCTTCAGCCGAAAACATAAACGTTTAATTATATTTCTGTAAATATGGCCACCACAAATAGGACAGGCAATTTGAGGCGGCGTGATTGGATTGACTCGGGATTCCTTAGAACGGGCCGATACGGGTATTTTAGTTCGAGATTCGTATAATTTCGCGTTTTAATCTTCGATTAAGGCACAATAGCACTATCCTATTCCACTTTAAACTAGATTTCACAAAATAATTGAAAGTCAAAATAAAAACGACACTTTTCCCTCCAAAAGGCCCAGAGCGAATCTCTGTTATTTATATTAAATACAGTGCTGGTTTTAGTAATATCATATATAGTGTGTATTGCGAATTTCATAATGGACAAAAATATCGAACAAAGAGTTTGTCTTAAATTTTGCATATTCAATGGAATTTCGTGTTCAGAGTCACTGAAAATGTTACAGAAGGCTTACGGTGACTCGACTTTATCAAAAGCTCGTGCTTATGAGTGGTTCAAAGCGTTAAAAAGCGGTCGAGATGTGATGGAAGATTTGCCTCGCTCTGGTAGGCCGTCAACGTCTGCAACTGAAGTTAACATCGCAAAAGTGAAGGAAATAGTGACTGAAAATCCCCATTCAACTCTGAGAGAGATAGCCGCCGAACTTTCTGTATCTCACGAGTCGATCCGTACCATTTTCACTAATCATTTGGGTATGAAACATGTTGCTGCTCGGCTAGTCCCAAAAGATCTGAATTTTCTCCAAAAACTCAATCGCATGAAAGTCGCTGAGGACATGCTAGAACGAGTCAGTTCGGACCCAACATTCATGAAACGCATTGTTACCGGTGACGAGACGTGGGTTTACGAGTTTGACATGCAAACTAGTCAACAAGCTTCGGAGTGGCGCCTTCCAACTGAACCGAAACCGAAAAAACCACGCCAAAGTCGATCAAAAGTCAAAGTCATGTTGACTGTTTTCTTTGACTATCGCGGTGTTGTGCACTCTGAATTCTTACCGGAAGGTCTAACGGTAAATAAAGAATATTATTTGAGCGTTATGCGGCGTTTAAGAGAGCAAATTCGACGAAAAAGGCCAGATTTGTGGAAAGAAAATTCTTGGATTTTGCACCACGACAATGCGCCTTCGCACAAGGCTATCATTGTGAACGAATTTTTGACCAAACACTCAACAAATACCATCCAACAACCACCATATTCACCAGATATGGCTCCTGCTGACTTTTTTCTTTTTCCTAAACTCAAATTACCACTTCGTGGCACCCGTTTTCAATCGATAGAAGACATAAAGGAGAATTCGCGGCGAGAACTGAACTCAATTCCGGAAGCAGCGTTTAAAAAATGTTTTGATTAATGGATTATTCGTTGGCGCAAGTGTATCGTTTCTAAAGGAGCATACTTTGAAGGTGATAAAATAAATTTGGATGAATAATAGACATTTTGTGTATTATTGATCTTTTCCCGGTACTTTCTTGACAGAGTAGTATAACTAAATACAATATTAGAACTAGAGTGTCCGCTATATGTGAATTACTTCTTTCTCTCCTTATTACATAGTTGTATCCAGTGCTAAATATAATTATGAATAACACATCGAGCTTGTGTTAACATCAGAGTTTCTTATTGTTACCAAAAATGTACGGTAATATATTCAATTTTGGTACTTTAATATAGGTACCAACGAAGAACAGATATTATTTTTACTTTAAAGTACAGGTACCCAATACGGATGTTGCCAGTTTGATACGTGTGTCTGCGGCGGACACGACAGAACATAACGGCGCACCTCGCGCAGAATTGCGAAAGTATTGTTTTCACTGCATTGACATTTGCACTCGTGAATCTTCAATGTACAACTAATGAACTAATCATATGCATGTAGTCCTGTGTCTACACTATGCGATATAAAAATCATCGATATTATACTTTATGAATGTGCTTGTAAAGTAAAAACATAACTGTCCCCAGGTATACGCGCCCTTGAACATCTTTATAGCGCTAGTCGGCGTAGTGGTATGGACAGAACGTGACGAGATCCCGTTGGTGGAGAACGGTGACACCACGCTCAATCACTTTCTCGATTATCGCAAAATGAGACTGTTGGTCGATATACCCAATGACAATGCGCATTTGCTCACGTAAGTAGTATAGATTTTGTGGCTTTCGTGGTTATTCATTAAAAGATTGTAACTAATTACAGGTTTCTTACCACGGTATGAGTTCTTTTTATTTTTCCTGTGTTTCTGAACGGTTACACCGGTGTAATCGTTCAGAACGGCGAAGAACTTATACTGTGGTAAGAAACCTGTGATTAGTGATAATCACGTGAGTTTGATTTTAAAAAAGCATAGCGGTAACAATTAGAATTATTTTTTGTTTATCCGCACAAAATATACACTGTTTGGCTAAGAGATTATATAAAACCGTGACACTCAGCCTTAAACACTCGTAAGCTTTTTACTTAACAGCCTCCGTATGTCGTTTTACGTAAAATAATTTAAAATGTTTACTTTTCTTAAGTTATATTGTTTCTTTTCATTGCAGTAACCAAAAATTCTTAGATGGCGTCGTGGGTAAAGCGTTGAAAGGTCCAATATGCACGTATGAATTTTCCGGCGGAGTAGCGACAAATCATTCTTCTGTTATTGGTTTAGTCGCGACCACAATCGCGCACGAGATGGGTCACAATTTCGGCATGGAACACGATTCTGAGAAGGAGTGCGTTTGTCCCGATGAAAAATGCATAATGAGCCCTTCGAGTACTTCTGTGGTTCCGATTAATTGGTCTTCGTGTAGTAAGAAGTCGTTGGCGCTCGCTTTTGAGCGGGGAATGGATTATTGTTTACGGTGAGATATTTATTACGATAAGATCACAGAAGAAAGAAACAATGGAAGTGCCTTAAGCCTCGATTACTATCAGAAACGATGTAACCAAAACTTCCACATTCTTAATTCGAAACACTACAAAATCTTGATATTGATTGGTCGTAGTTACAACTTTAAAAAGAAATAGATAATTCTGGATTGTTAATATAATTTAAACATTACCCTGTTGGCATATCGTTGAAAGTTCAATAGCATCAAATGCCTATTATTATAAGTTACGACGTTTTGATATTATAATGAAATTTCAATCAATGTGCTGCCATCTAGCGGTTTATTGCTGAACAACTATGAATTGGAGTTATTAACTTAGTTCTCCAAACAAGAAGCGACCATATTGCATGGGCATAAGCTCTACTTTCGTTCCTTGTAACAAAAAATATTTCGATAAACAAAATTGAAAATGTATTATAATAAGACTTATCTGAAATACCACCACGGGTAATATTTTTGGTGCGGCTATCATTTTTGCGGTCCAAAACAGCGCACTAAGCCATTTATGTAGGATTTTATAGAATTTGCACGAAATAATGACACAACCATACCATACAAAACGAAAATGGCGGCCTGAGCTCACATGGGTCGTTCGAGACCTATAGTTGGCACGCGTCTGACGCTACGTATTTATTGTTCTGTAGGTAAGACACTCGAATGCCTTAACTAACGCTTACTGCCCCAAGCTTACTCTGGCGTTAGGCAGAAGTAGCCTTCGAATCCTGACTAGCTTACAAACGACACTGTGGTTTGAATAAGCACAAATCCAACCTCAAGCTAAACAAGATCATATCCTGATATCTCAGCATCTCCTGAAAATCCAATGTTTTCCTTGAATGGGCTTACGAAAATCACACCTGGGTCAGCCAGATGTAAGAACCAATTTTCCATAATTTTCTGCAGAAACAAGCCAAAGCGTCTATTTGATTCACCGACATGCGGCAACGGCTTCGTGGAAGAAGGCGAAGAGTGTGACTGCGGGATGATGGCGGACAAGAAACAATGGAACGCGTGCCAAGGGTGTTGCGACGCAGACGCTTGCACGCTAAGACGAAATGCTACTTGTGCTTCAGGCTTGTGTTGTGACCTTGAGGTGAGAAATTTGTAGTTTACATTTTTCTATTACACATATACCTGTCTCCATTGACTTACAATTATATGGACGTCGGGTCCGCGCTAAAAAGTGTCCGCACTTGTAAGGCGCTAAAATCGTATACAGAGCGCGACACTCCGCTTTAGTCTTCATTTGTTCGACTGACAGCGCGATACTGCGATGACATAACAATTTAAATTTCGAATAGGTTGACTTGGGACATTTTTTTCGTGGTTTTTGTATTAGACCCGTCGTCCATTTATTTGTAAGTCAATGCCTGTCTCTCAATTTATTCAAGAATTTCATTTGTTACGTTCATGATGTACTACTATTTTCGCATTCTCTCGCATAAGTCTTTACTTTTGGCCTGGTGCCTTTTGAGGTCATTCCCAGTCTTGTTCAGGTATATTCTGCATTCTTTCTAGAAAGTGCCTCGTAAGACCATTTTCTTTTCCTATTTGAGTGGTCCGATTTAATTAGCTAACTTCCGTATTAAGTGCCGGATCCGATGTTAAGATCTTACATAAACCAATTGTCTTTAGTAATAAATATTACTTGAGTGCTCATCAGCTCATTGATTTCGAACCTTTTTTAGAGGCGTCAAATATTTCACTTATAAACTTTACTATGTAATTATCATTAAGTTTAGGTGTCTTACCACGGCATGAGTGTCTACTCATAAAAAACAGTAATTAGTGATAATCATTCAGTGAATAACCACGAAAGTCTTAAATCGAAACTTCCGTATAGCTACAACTCAAAATCATTCTTCAGTTCTAATCAATGAAGTGCAAGGTCTTAGCCACATGAGATGGTATTATTCAACATGCCCATGAATACCGGAAAACATAAGACGCATTTCTAGATCTAAGTAACGTCTCAGCCGATATTGAATATACCGGACTTAGGGGGTAGTATTTTTTTATATAATATCAAGTGACGGGACGAACAAGTCGTGAGCCTGTTGGTAAGCTACACGCCTGTTCATAACAGTTGCAGTGCCACTCAAAGTATACAGTCCTTACTGTGTTATTATAAAATACTATACGTTTATTTGCCAGAATACAGTGTTAATTAGAGACAATAAGTGAAAATTATAGTTGATTGGTGAATAGTACCTACTTTAAGCCAATGACCATTTACCAGTGACTGTTATTGATTTTGCCATGAACTGATTAGGTTTTATTTAATATTTCAGACGTGTCGTCCTAAGTCAGCGGGTACGCTTTGTCGCTCGGCCTACAAAGAGTGCGATCTGCCAGAGTTCTGCACGGGATACTCTGAGTATTGTCCCAACGATGTTCATAAGATGGACACCGTTCCCTGCGGGAAAAATCAGGAGGTAACTACTAACTTTTAAATTTTAAGGTTTTCAGGGTTTATCATTAAATTAGTAATTACTCAATTTGTAATTGAATTTGGAATGAAATGTTCTCCCAGAAAATAAAAATAAGTTCCTCGATGACCTGTTAAAACTTGTACACCGTTGGGGAAGGTGGGCCAAGTCCGATGTAAAGTTGGAGGTCAATCACCTCGAAGGAAACTAGTTTTGTCAAGCTGCAGGCATTAGTGTAAATAGACAAAATTCGCGTAAGTTGTTGGCATTTGGCATTTGTGGTAACTCGGGTGACGTAATTTTTTAGAGTAAATGGGACAAAAATAGAGGGTACCGGAACGGTAACCGGCAAAGATCATAAAATTATCCTTGAGATACAGAGGCATTGTTAAACAGTTGCCATCTTCCAAGCTTCTCGTTTCATAACAGTTAATAATTAAGTTTCGTTGTTCGAGCGTCGACGCAGGCGTTAGGGTGTTTACGCCGCGATTAGCCGTCGTTGGCCACGTACGGTCACATTCGAAAATTAGCAAGAATGTGAAAGTTAAAGTCAAATAATCATTTATTCCATAGGTAACATTTTTCCACTTGCGAACGTCATTTTTAAGCAACTGCTCGTTCACTACGCTGACCTCTCTGAGAAGAACGAGCAAGAAACTCTAGGGATTGTTCTTTTCAAATAAACTTAAATGCTATGGGATACACTTTGAGTCATAAATGTGTGGAATCTAGACTCTTGTTGTCTTTCCATACTTCTGTATCTAAAACACACTCTTCAATTTTGTAATATGATTTTTCAATTAAAATACTTTTAATGTAATTTTTAAACTTAGGAAATGATAATCTTAATATATTCTCCGGAATCTTACTGTAAAAACGTAAACAGTTCCCCATGAAAGAATCGTTTACTTAAACGAAATCGTGGTACCATGAATGTAAATGAATAGCCAGTGTATTGATAATGTTTATTGAAATATGTGTTAAATGAATAAAAATAATTAAAATCTGATTACGATTGGATGACCTTTATCAGACGTACTGCATGCATGGTTCCTGCCGCTCACGTACGGACCAGTGCCGGTTGCTATGGGGCCCCACCGGCGAGGAGTCTCACGAGAAGTGTTACTACGGAAACAACATTAAGGGTAACCAGTAAGTGCCTTTATCAACATTATCTGGTGTATCTTAGCTACGAAAGGTGCTTTTTGCCAAAAAGCGAAATTTAAATTCGTCACAAAATGTTTGCTGTTTAACATAACAGAACCGGCAACTGCGGCTACGATCGCATGCGGCAAATATACAGGAAGTGCTCCCCCGAAGACGCTATGTGCGGCATGCTGCACTGCAGACATCTCAACGAGAGACTAGAGTTCGGAATGGAGAACGTCGCTACTCTATCGGCCGTATTTATCAACAACAATGGTAAAACTTCTTATGAAATTTGTGGTGGTGGGTTTTTCTTACAGTTTTCTATTGCAGGTTAATTACGTAAGGCGAAAGATGGACCGGTGGCATTGATATTTGTTTTTTCCGGCTCAGTGATGCCGTATAAACCACTTTTCTTCTACTAATAGCCTGTCAACATTATAACAGTGTGACCTTTTATACCACCTTTGTACTCATTATCTGTCAACATTTTTAGTGTTGCCATTAAAAACCACTTTTCTACTAATTATCTGTCAAACGCGTGGCGGTGTTGCCGTTTAAGCTATTTTTCTACTAATTAATTTAAACTTTTGGGTTGGAAAAATACAATATCAAAGACACCGATCTATCTTTCGCCATACGAGGTTAGCCGGCTTTACTCTACTGCTTCGCTTCGAAAATCCACTATAAATTGATGTTTTTCGTCTACAGGGCGTAACAAAAACAGTCCGATCATATTTCACTTGGTGAATCAAACAATTTCAGCAAAAAAAGTCGTGTTTTAATCTATGTTCTTCTATTGACAGTATGAACGTTAATTAATACTATAGTTCATTTCACATGGCATGGGTACGGTGATGTTTGACGTATGGTGACGGTGATTAGAAGTTTCTAGAGATGTGGTGATGTGATTCAATAATTTGTAACGAAAAGAGAATCGATTTAGGGATTATAGTTTAAGAATAAGTAATACACAAAACAAAAAGGATTCAATAAAATATTAAGTTACTCAAAAACACCACAACAATTTAAAAAACCGAAGCATGAAAATAACAAAAACGAAACGAAATTTGAACAATTACTTCAAAAATATCACTAAAATCTCAAAATACATATTCGATTTATCAATTCTATGATGTAAATCTCTACGGATAAATATTTCGTTTTGCGCATTAAGTAATTGGGACAATTTATTTTTATCTTTATCATTTCATTTTCTATTTAATTAATATACTGTCATTTTTAATTAAAATTAAAACTGCAACAAATATTGTTTATTTTTGGTGTGTCATAACAAATTTACTATTTCTTTTTGTAACCGGGTTGAGAGATTAGTTAAAAATAGTATGCATGCAACTTAAAAATTTTAAATGTCACGGTACCCATCCTATGTGAAATGGACAATAGCGCCACTATAGACACTATAGTACTAGTAGAGCTCCTTGTGAAAGCGTTCGTCCAGGGAAGTACTGCCACCTTACCTATTTCTGCCGCCAAACAGTAATGTTAGCATTATTGTGTTCCGAATTTGAAGAGTAAAGGTGCTGGTGAAATTTCAGGCATATGGGACTTGTCAATTTATATCTCAGGCTGTCGGGCGCAGTGGCAGTGCCCCTCAGATCTTTGGGGATTTAAAGCTCTGAGTGGCACTGCAACTGTTATGGACAGGCGTGTAGCTAACCATGAGGCGCACGACTTGTATGTCCCGTCACTTGATATTATAAAAAAACTGTTTCTCAGGGTTCAATAGTAACTTGTTAAAATTTTAATAGTCGTGTTAGTCCAAGGTCAAGCAACACGCCTACTGATAACAGTTGCAGTGCCACTCATAGCTGCAACCGTCACCTTGGAACATAAAGTTGACAAGTCTAATGTGAATGTAGTTTTCCCAGTACCTTTATCCTTCTAAATCGGAACGTGTGGCCAAGTCTATATTATCTCGGGTCTGGGAGTTTATGATACCGTCCTTGTTTCCGATTTCCATAACACAAGTGCTTTAGTTTGCTTACTCTCGGGTCAAAGCAACGTATGTGATGTTGTCTAATATTTATTTAATTTATTTTTGTTTAATCTGAAATTGTTTATTGTTAAGTGTACTACCACCAGCTGAGATATAGTCGAAATGGTTGCCCGTTCACTCGCATAATGCCATCTGAAGCCATAAAATTGTTGGCATACAACAAGCGTTTTTATGTTATTTTTAATTTCACATAGCCAGTCGGTGGCACTTGATTTGTTAATTTGAAACAATGAAAACCTTCATATTGCATTTATTGAAAAACGCCTATTTTAGAAGCATAACTGTGCATCGTTCTAATATTTGATAATGGTAATGCATAACAATTGTTTGTCTGCTCTTCAATCTATGTTTGTCATAATTTTAATACTCATAATATGAATTGTCATAATTTTCTAATAAATGGACTTCATTTTGCTTAATTCATAATTATGACAATTTAAATCCTATGGGTATTCAATCACATATAGTCACGTTATAAAGTTTATTACACTAATCTTGAATGCATGCTTGCTTGCTTGCCTGTTTGCATACAGCATGCTGGCCTTCAACCAAAATTGGAGTCCTTAACACCTTAGAGAGTCAACAGACTTTTCCACGTGGAATCGCATTAAAACGATGAAAGAAAGCTTTAAGTCTACATGTGTAATAATAGCAAAAAAGACATGGACTTTACATCAGCTTCTACGACGCAACTCTATACATGAATCCACTTCTTGTGAATTTCCGTATGTAGATATTATGTGAAATGTCCAAATCCACTTGATCGTTTATCAGCAATGTGACAACCGTTAATTGCGCAGAGCGCAACGGGAAGTGGGCGTGCTTACTGCTCCGGTACCTATCTGGAAAATAGGGAGGGCGATGTACGTGCACCCGAGACGCCTCCCCTAGGGCACTAGCCCTTTGAGAAACGAATGAAGTCCGTGCAATCGGACTGATCTGGGGTCAGGATCTGATTGAGGAGGTCCCTGTGTGGGCTTGCTCGCACAGGTTATAGTGCCCTTCCCGCATAACCAAGAGGTCACCATAAACAAAACTGTCTACCCACCCGAGGGACTGGGATTTGCGGGGAGACTACGGGCTCACCGGTAAGACCAGGCCATGGCAACAGCTAGCGCGTCTTAGTAGCGATCTAGACGAGGGCCTAAGATGAGGACACGAGCGAGACACGTGAGTTGCCCTTTAACTTGGAAGCTACAATTATGTCCGGACCATGTCACAGGACACTGCGATCGACATCTCCGGTGTTAGCCCGGAGAGCTAGTAGAGGATAAGCTAGGTATCCTCCGGTCCCTCCACATTGAACATAGCCCCGCACTAGGGCAACCCTGTGTCGCGGGTGCCACACACACACACATAGACAACCACAAATTACACCCAAACTCACGAGAGAAATAAATGTAGGCCATACAAATATTTCTCCTGACCCGGGACTCGAACCTGGGACATCTGCGTGGCAGTCCGGCACGGCAACCGTTCGGCCACGTAGGTTTCTGGAAACTGGAGAGACGCTTCGGCGTCGGGAGGTGAGCGTGCCGACAGCTCCGGTACCTATATGGACAATAAGGAGAGTGCTGTACGTGCACATGGGGCAACTCACCTGAGGCACTAACCTTTTGAAAACTGGATGAAGTCTGTGCAAACGGGCTGATCTGGGGTCAGGGTCTGACTGAAAAGGTCCCTGTGCTTTCACAGGTACAAGACAGGCACTATAGCCTCTCTCGTATACCCTAAGGGTCGGTACTGAAGGTCACAACTTATGTAGAAAAGAACAAGGCTGTACGTGCACCCGAGGCACTAGCGTTTCGAGAACCGGATGAAGTCCGTGACAACCCTGTCCTTGGGCTGATCTGGAGCCCGGGCTTAAAGCCACACATACGGTCCTTGTGCACAGGTTATAGTGCCCTTCCCGTATAACCAAGAGATTGATAGAGAGGGTCACTATAATCAAAACTTAAGCAGAAGGATGTGGGACTGATCAAGTGGTGATTTATCCTTTAAACAGTAGCATTTTATTCATTGTTAAGCGCAACCACTTCTATTCAGTTTAGAATGAAAAGAAGGAAACAAGAAATATTTCGTCTGAGTAGGCACTTTACTCTCAACGAACGAACAACGAGAAGGTTCAATTAGCAATGGTTGTTCATTTAAATTAACACGTTTTTAATTGAACGTTACAGCTGGGTTATAATTAGGCGCAAAGCATTGATACTTGTTGTGAAAAATATTTGCAATTTGCAATTTTACAGTGCCATAGTGGTTAGTCTCACTACGCCTGGTCATAATATTGTTAGTGTTGTTTTTTTTACTCACACACACACACACACACTCACACTCATAGCCCCGCACCAGAGAAACCCTGTATCGCGGGTGCCATGGACATGCACATACGTCAACTGCCACAAATTACACCCAAACTCACGAGAGAAATAAATGAGTCGTTCATTTTAAAAGTGACTTATTATCTCCTTGTAATTAAATTGTGTCACTTTTAGAAACACTCACTTTCATATGAATATTTGGCAGTTTTAGATCTACATCATTTTTACAATGTACGACACAAATGTAGGTCATACAAATATTTCTCCCGGCCCGGGAGTCGAACCCGGGACCCGGGCCACTGAGGCAGTAGATTTTTTATTTATTTTTATTAATATATTATTCCCAGATAAAAATTACAACAATAAAGAATAATCTATACTTTACTACCAGGAAACATTACACTCCCAAAGTACCAAATATCGAGATGTTGCATGTCAGTTTGCGTGTGGCTTAACAAAGAATTCAATGCCATTGTTTAAAAGATAAGCGCTGAAGCGGATTCGGACATTTGAAATAATTCCTACTATAACTGTTGCGAAACGAGAATTAGAAAAGATTTTGGCATAATTTCTGCTCAATTATAGTACGCGTTATGATTACGACGAACATTAACTTACAATGTGAGCTTTACTTAAATGCTGTCGAAAATTTAACCCAATATTCTTTTGTAATAATACTTTTGTTTATTTTGTCAGGTACGATAATTCCCTGCCGAACAGCTTTGATAGACCTAGGCCTGGGCGATATCGATCCAGGGCTAGTTCCGGATGGGGCCAAGTGTGGAGATCATAAGGTGAGTGAATGATAATCGGAAACCAGAATAAATTTATATAAACTTGAATTAATACATATACGAGTTGTTAAACTACTTACTATAGTCTGTCTTTTTTGACGATGGAGTAAAATGACAGTTCATTGCGCAATTGGGCAACACTGATGCTTACGAACAGCTAGTGATTGCAGTCGATAAATATTCCATCGACTATCGATTGAATGTTGGTTACGCTTATACAATTAAAAATCGAACTTGAAATAAAGAAAGAAAGAATATTCCATAAACAAACAACACAGCACACATACATTTAGCAATTACGAAACATGTAACAATGAATAATCAAACGATACGCCATAACGTGTTCATGCTGTGCTGTTACGGAATCCGTCATCCACTCAGCTTGGTGTCTTCTCACTGCATGTGCAGCGACGCTGATTTTCAGTGGATTCGGCAACAATGAATACATGACACGGAACACAGTAGACGACACAGACGTGTACATTTGATATAATTAGGGATAATAGTATAATTGTAAAATAAAAATGTAATTGTAAACAATAGTGCAATTGTAAATAATAAAACAACTGTAAGTAATAGGGTAATTGTAAATAATAGCTCAATTGCGACATTGTAGTAATTAGCATTCAGATATTCTATTAGTTCTAGCCAAAGTTCACAATAAAACGCCCACATCTCCGAGATCGGCAGCTATTCTGGAGATTGCTGAATATTAAACAAATACGCCTTAAGTATTTTTTTAAAAGTAAAACGTAACTTGTATCATTTCAATCATCATTGACCCATTATTTTTTTAACAACGGGCACAAGTTCATTCGGAATGTCAGTTTTTGTAAGTTCAACACTACATACACTACATTTAGAATTATATCTATTAAAAAATACAAAGAGGAGACATATTTTAAAATTTTTAATTTTTTAAATATAGATAATCAAATTCGCCTGTCCTTATTAAAATGCATATGAATAGAAATTGATTGAAACTGGTAGTCCAACGGTCAAAATAGGAATAAAGAAGGTAATAACACAATTAAACATAGTAACATCCACAATTCAGATATTTTTGGCAAAATGTTACCTTTTTTCACAATCTATCGATAAAACTGTCGACAACAACTACATAACTATATTATTATTATTTTTTACCAAATGACGGGAGGAACAAGTCATGCGTCTGGTGGTAAGCTACACGCCTATCCTAGTGCCACTCATTGCTTTAAATCGCAAAGATCTTAGGGGCAGTGCCACTGCACCCGTCACCTTGAAACATAAGTTGACAAGTCCCATGTGCCTATAATTTCACTAGCAACATTACCCTTGTAAACCGGAACGCAATCTTATTTTTGCTGCTTGGCAGCAGAAATAGATAAGGTGGTACTTCCTTGGACGAACTCTTTCACAAGCTCTACGGCTACTATGTATACATATGATAAAATAATAAAATACATATTACACAGATGTGCTACAAACAGCGCTGCGTGCCAATAAAACAAGTGCGCGACAGCATAGCCGCTATGGAGAATTCTGAATGCCCATCTGATTGCAGCGGCCACGGCGTTTGTAACTCCAAAGGTAAGCATCCGTTTGCTTATTTCTTCCGCAGTATGTGCCACACGGCAAGTGTTTTATTACATGAAAGTCCTACAAATATTAACTACACGAAACAAATTGTGTATACCTATGTGAAATTATATAACTCTTTTATTTAATATAAAATTGTGATTGCTGTTGCGGTATTGAGATAGTGTCTAATGTCTATCTGCCTATTGTTGGATGTTTCCTTGCTTTTAACAACGAAGCGTGATTCTATTAATGCGTTTGAAATAATCAAAATAATTCCATGGTACAAAGGGGCACGGTCAAACATTATCTACTCTGTGGATTCTTCCACATCGTGGCCTTAGAGTGATAACTCTTCATACGCGTTTCCACATAGTTCGTATTTACTGATTTTTGTTGTAGAAAAACTTATAAATTTCTTGCTCAAATATATTATGAAAGTAATATTGTAGAATCTGGTAGAGGTATAATTTAACTAAAATGCTAACTACAAACATTTTACACCACATTTTTATCTTTGTCCTTAAAAATTACGTAGAAATATTATTAGAAATATTACATATACGAGGTATTCACTCCAATACGACGAAATGTAAATACTGCTTCCAGGAGCATTGCAAGTTCCATTGAACTTTTACTTGTAAGGTACGTCTTTTCGGGAACGATCGTCAGTTTGCGTCTTTTTTTTATTAAATAATGATTATTTGAAGGCGAAAAGGTATCGTGGTGGCGTAGGGTTTGAAGCTTTATGTAGACGCGGAGAATTCCTAAAATATACTCTGTAGTGGTAAAATAAGCTCATAGTCCCCTGACGTTATTCTAATGATATATCACGGAGAGTGTGCAATGGATTGCATAATTTGATTCCGCCTTCCCTTTTCTTAGCTGGGGTTCCACCCCTATATTGTGGATCATCCCAGAATTCGCATAAAGCGTTTCGCTTCCACATTTATATGGCGAGCGACTATGGAGTGGAATTCCCTGCCTGCAGACTTATTCCCCGAACGCTATAACTTGGACCTCTTCAAGGCGAGAGTGAATAGGGATTTAATACGAAACATTAGAGAAAATGTTATATAAATAGCACCCCACAGTATTAGTCGATAGATTTACAAGAATATGAGAGGATGTGGGTTATATTTTTCTGTATCTAATGGAGCATAATTAATAAATAAATAATGAACATTTTTTACGTAACTTCAGTTATGCCATTCTACCATGAGGGGTGCGAAATATATAGCTCTAATAACAATCGAATGAAACTGATTTATCCATAGATAGAAAGAAAAATTCATGATAAAAAATGAAAATTTTGCGCAACAATATAATTTTTATTATCAAGCGAAATTTATTCAATCATGTTTCGGGCTTCGTAGTTCACTGCCGGTATGTTCTGTTTTCATTGCCAATTAAAAAAAAACAAGTTGATTTGTGGTTAAAGTATGACTATGTCTCCTATGAATTACATATTCACTTACTGAGAAACTCAAATAATTCAAACGTTCAATACAAAAGAAGCGCACTAATTAAATTGTAAAAAGCTAACAAAAGTTTAATATGTCGGTAGACAAAAATACAAGCGAACTCAGATATACGACCCGGCAGAGCGTACTATGACAAAGTCATTACATTGACTATTTCTCATTTCTTTGTGTCGAAAACACGATTTTCCGTGCGGTCGAAATACGTCAAAACGTCTATTTTGGGTTTTACTTTACTTTTGTCATACTTACCTAATACAGATTTTGAATAGTTGCATGCAAAAAATGTGTTATATTTGCAGGACATTGCCACTGCGACGTGGGTTTTTCTCCTCCGTCGTGCGAGTTGCCCGGCCCTGGCGGATCCTTCGACTCTGGTCCAGCAACTGATCCTAGCGGTAAGTGTACTTAGTTATACACTGAATAATATACCATAATATAAATAATTACACAGGTAGTGTCAAGTCTGTTCCAATCCATTTACAACAAAAAGAAACAAACCTAATTGGTTAAAATTCTAAGGCAATCACTCAATAAATCGAATAAGTAACACTTTCATGTATACTTTCATGCTTACTGAAAATCAGCGCTGTGGTAAATCTACTGCAGCATATGCTGAGATAAGTCCCGTGTTGGCATGACGCTACAACACAGGCCATACTACTGTCTACTGTGCACCATTGTTTTAGTTTTATTTGTAATTATGAGTCATATACCTACTTATTTGTATGTAAACTGTTTTAGTGTGGTTTTGTGTTGTTGTATTCGTGCCAATAAAAGTATGTCTATGTCTATGTCTATGTCTATGTCTATATTTCGAAGATTTCGGCTTGATATCTCATCACTTGTTCCAACAATATTTATTTGAATAGCATTGTAAATTGTATTTGAAAAAAGGTAGTCCAAACGTGAGATTATTTTTCGGATTTCGGAAATTTCAAATATACTATATAGGTTATGTAGGGAAAAGTGCTAGTATATATCAATTAAACAAATCGATTAATTCAATTAATTAATCGATTTGTAGTTGGCATTACAATTTACCGTCACTAAACCGTCTATGGTCGAGTCAGTGGCATGTTTGTTTACATTTTGTTGAAAATGGATTGAAACGAAGTATAACTATAGTGCTTTTTTTGAAGATGGAGTGAAATGTCAGTTCATTGCGCAAAAGTGTTGCCGGCTTGCAAGCAGCTAGTGATTGCAGTCGATAAATATTCTATCGACTGTGAATTTAATGTTGGTTACGCTTTAGAAATAAATAATAATAATAATAATAATAACGCACACACTCAACATAGCCCCGCACTAGGGAAATCCTGTGTCGCGGGTGCCATGGACACACACATAGACAACCACAAATTACACCCAAACTCACGAGAGAAATAAATGTAGGCCATACAAATATTTCTCCCGGCCCGGGAATCGAACCCGGGGACCTCTGCGTGGCAGTCCAGTATGGTAGCCGTTCGGCCACAGAGGCAGTTAAATTCATTTCTATTTCATAATATTATTTCGATAATCGAGGTACCAAACCGCGACACTCGTATAATAATAACATAATGACGCAATACACTCATGGCTTCGCACTAGGGAAACCCTGTGTCGTGGGTACCATGGCGGCACACATAGACAACCACAAATTACACCCAAACTCACGAGAAAAATAAATGTAGGCCATACAAATATTCCTCTCGGCCCGAGAATTGAACCTGGGAGTTCGGCCACGGAGGCAGTTTACAACGACAAGGACTTTTGAAGTGTTTTTTTTTGCTTTGTTTTGTTTCTGAAATACTTATCTTTTCGATATAACTTTTTTCATAAGATGAGCTAGCATATGTCAATTTTGCAAATAGCTCTTTAGTGAACAATTTTCTGTTCACAACACACAAAACTTTGTTTTCAAGATAATCTCACAAAAAGAAAATGTACTACGGAAAGGTGCCCTTATAACAGAAAAACTAGTCATGCAGATTTTAATGTTGTATAGCAAAAGGTATTCTTTTCTACAGTTACATGTGTTTGAATTTTTTTGTAAGAGAGGTCAGTTTTTTTTCATAATATTAATTCCGTGTCAAAGGTAAAGTTGTTAGTTATTTAAAATTTAGTCGAGTTTTTGTAGTTTTTGCTTTTACATATTTTACATTATTTTAGTTATTGTTTACGTATTTCTAATTACTCTCACGTATTGAACTGCATTAAGAATGTTCTCGACTTTTTCCAATTATTTATTATATCAATTTGTTTTTATTTTTTCTGTTTATCTCGTTTGTCGCGCTCAATTTTTACGTTGATAAAATTACTGTGCAGAACTGTCAAAATGTTTTAAAATCAGTTGTGATCTTGCAGCCACGTTTGGCACTGTGTTAATCTTTTGCAGTCATTAGTCGCAGCGCTCGCGATGACATACAAATGTGACATCATGGTGCTCGCCATGTTAGCTATTGTGATATAACTTTCTAATGCCAAATGTGGATATAATAGCTTTATCGATGCGACATACTACGAACGCTGAGTGGTGGCACTAAACGTGTAATAGCAAACCTTTGGTATCTTGAGGACGTTCTGAAGTTAAATTTAGCGATTTTATGTAGTCAAAGTCAAAGTCAAAGATTATTTATTCCATAGGTAAAATAAATGTACACTTGAAATCGTCACATTTAAGCTACTGCTCGTTCACTACGCTGACCTCCCTGAGAAGAACGAGCAAGAAACTCTAGGGATTGCTCTTTTCAAATAAACTTAAATGCTATGCTTAAATACTTTGAATCAAATTTGTGTGGATTCTGGAGCCATGTCGTCTTTCCATACATCTTTATCTAACACGTAGTCTTCAATTTTGTAATATGATTTTTCGATCAAAATATTTTTAATGTAGTTTTTAAACTTAGGAAATGATAAACTTCATATATGATCCGGAATCTTATTGTAAAAACGTATACAGTTCACCATAAAAGAGTTGTTTACCTTGGTTAAACGAAATCGTGGTACCATGAGTTTGGACTTAGCTCTAAGGTTAATATTATGGATATCTTCTTTCTTATTGAAATTATGTATATTTTTACGAGCATATAAAATATTTGAGTAAATGTACTGTGATGCCACAGTCTTGATACCAGTCTCCTTAAACTTTTCTCTGAGAGAAACCCGAGAGCCTAGACGGTACACATAGTATTTGATGTATTAACAATTCTAATGTTATATTTTTGTCCACAGTGCAAAGGAACTTCATGATAACGATGTACATAATATTCCTCGGGATTATACCATCAATTCTTCTCATCATGTTCCTGTTGTACTACTCGCGCCACAACGTTCTACCATTCTGGAAACGACCAAGAAAATCGTACGTAGATTTACTACCATGCATAAAAAGACACGGGACAACTAATAATTCTAAAGATCCAAAACCTACATATAATGCTAGCAAAAGCTTTTTCAGTAATATGCCTTCCTTTCACTACAATACTCATAGACTACGTCAAATGTTACGTTTTCCCTCGAAAGCGCCTAAAAATATCAACGAAAATAATATTACAGTGTCTCAAATTGAAACCCATATTTACGATGTACCGGATTGTAATAATGCAGAAATAAATTCAAAGATACAAATTAATTTTGATTATAACAAGCCATTACCTCAGGCTCCTAAAAATATAAAGTTTGATAAAAAAATTACGAAAGCAGACATAGTTATAAATAGAGATTGCAACATAGATAGGAAAGACCAAAACGCAGAGAGTCATTATCAAAATGCAGAAGAAATAAAAACAAATTTAAATATAAACAATACTCCACTCAGTAATGTTATTCAAAATTCAAACTTAGTTAACTACTCGCCACCAAAAGCTGAAATTTCTAATTCAATAAGTGATATTAAACCAATTGATAATTCAATAGTTAAAAGTAATGAATTAAGTGTTTTGATTGCTAATGCTAAAAACAATTTAAATAAATCACCAAAACCCATTAACAAAAATAGTGTTAAACCCATTGTTAAAGTCGAAAATGATTTACATTTCAATACAGTTTTAAGTAATGCTCGAAATAACTTATCTAAGTCACCTAAACCGACAGTTAAAAATGGATCTAACTCATCTACTGTAGCTAGCAAGGAGCTCAATTCTGTTATACCTAAAACTAACAACAGTTTACCTAAACCAGTTAATAATATAAACGAAACTATAAAAACTTCAATAGCTTTAAAAACAAAACCACAAGCTGAGAATAAACCAAATATAAGCAGTAAATATAACGTAAATAAAGCAAAGCCGGTTATCAGTAAAGCGAAACCAAGTATAGAAAAAAAAGAATTAGCGTCGACTACGAATGAAATGATAACGAAAGGCAATGTAGCGAATAAAGCTCATATGTTTAATAAAAATAATATTGGCTAAATTAATAAAGACTGAATGTTTAATCAATACACTCTCAAAAAAACCAAAACTCAAGGGTGAATGGGGTGAACATGAACTGGTTTAGTAAATATTGTGCAATTACAATATTTAATTAAAGAAGGATGGCGACATCCCATGTATTTTGTGACCCAGTCTTTTTGACGACGTGCATTAAAGAGACCTATCAATACTTGTGACTCATTATCATAGCATCAAAAAAGCTAATTGGGTACAGCCTGTAGAAGCTGAGGTTGTAAACTTGATATAGGTTATGTTTATAACATTTTCCTGTATTTCGCTTCAGATGTTTAGTTAGGTAGAAGAACAGCAAGTTCTTCCTAAATCTGCCAAACTCTGCTACTTTTAATACAACGTTAACATGTTCTGTGGCAATGAAAATGAATAAAAATTAAACCTACCCAAATGGCAGAAATCTGCCACAAAAGGTCGGTCACATTGATCTCAATCTCAAAGTGACATTGACATTGGCAAGAGGGCTCTTGTCAAAACGTTCCTTTGTTAACTTTCGTGTCTATCATTGAAATTTTGTCTAAACATTTTTGTCACATTGCGGTTTATTTTTTACTTTAAGTTATTATTGTTTAATTGATTATTTGATTACGTATTTTATCGCTTTAATGTTTTATGAGTGTGCTATAAAATAACTAATACTTCAGGTCGGTTAAATATTCAATTATGCTTAAAATGAAACGTACGTACAAGAACGCTACCTAATCTCTGGTGGAACTGAATCAATTGCGTTGTGTCATTGCATCATTCTAAAATACATTGTTTTGCAATATTTTTATTCCTGACTTCTAAAAATATACAAAAATATATTAATAACTAGGCATAAACATAAACAAACGTAAAATTATACTAGCAAAGTCCATGACTGGCACCTCGTTGATTTTGGGTCAGCATTCGCCACCCTTCTTTATATTTGAACACTAGCAAGTTAGATTGGACCCTATATATATATATATAATATAATATTTAAATCACGCCCGTTAATGTCTTAAAGGATAAACTATTTCAGTGTGGTTGTACTAATAATCAGTCAATACAAGCACCACCTTTTTAGGGACGGATAGTTCCCATATTTTGTTCTATAGAACATGACGTCATTGGACAAAATTACTTTTTTTTCTAGGATTTTTTCCTTATACTATGGAACAAATAAGCCATGCCAATCTCATGGCCGACCAAAAGGGAACTACCCTTAGGGTCCAGTGTTAACTTGTTGTACATTATAGCTACAAATGTGTGCCAAAGTTTTATGTGATTGTACTCCTTTTGTTATAGAATTTAATTTTTTGTAAACCATGTGTTGCTTGTTTGGATTTGTGTTATATTGGGTTTGAGTGTGGTTGGTTTGTTGTTTGCTTGTAATTTAGTGTGTAGTATTTTGTGAATGTAGTTATTTACTGTAGTTTGTTATGTTATATTTCGATAAATGAGGGCTACCATTGAAAACGTCACTAAAGACAGTTGGAGTAATTATAACGTTGTTGAGTAGCGTAACAGCCACGAATTATTCTACAACGCGATAACAAAAATTCGCGATTCTACAACGTCATATATATATCCAACTGCTGCATACAAGTCTCCTGTATAATATAGTCATGAAAGGACCTGTGATAGCCTCAATTTCTAGCATATTTTACACACGCAATAAGTATCAAAATTACCTGAACTTGTATCAAAAATATCACAACATTTCTTAAATCAACCTTATAACAATTATGAAACTTAAAGATCGCTGAAATGATTTTGATGCTTATTTAAATTTGCCTGTTTATTTTTAAATAATTTCACAATTATAATGACTGTTTAATTAGATGTTTAATAATTTAGTAGTTTTCTTTTAATACTTACTTAACTTTTTTTTAATAATAAAGCACATAGATGTATGGTGTTTTCACAATTTGCCCTTCCGGTTGCAATGTATGTTACACAAACTATAATATACGTTACTGTTTCTTTTGAGATTTTACATATACAGGGTTATTTGTAAAATACTCACAACACATCACCATACACCACACTCACAAGACCATATTATATTACTTACATCATAAGTATTATGATACTTTTGTTTTTCCACACCCACACCACAAAATTCTTTTTTTAAGACAGTTAAAATTAGTTAACGTATTCGACTTATCGGAACTTACCCTAACGATGCATTGCTGAAATGTCATTAAACAATTTCAATATTCTAAAACTGGGTTATGATTTTTTATGATATGATATTGGAATATATGCCTGGTAGGCTCTTAGTATTTTACAAATCACCCTGTATAGTTTTATTTCTGATTAATTAAAAAAAGTATACAACAACAAAATATAGAAACGTATTTGTGTGATGTAGCGTGCAGCCTTTTTTCCTTTTGCACATTCCAATGTTGAAGTGAACGTAATTTTCACCAGAGTAAAGTTCATAATTAAAGTTTTTGGGTCGGGGAAGGTGATGACAAGTTCGATGTAGGCTCGCGGAATGTTAAAGACCTAACTTCACCACGTACATTGACGTCAAAAACCAGCTCTAGCGCCGCAATTTTGGAGTTCAAAAGTAAGTCGAAGGCCTTTATAATCAATTGTAAAATTAAATCTAAATGTTAAAAAAAAACATTGGAATTGGCAATTTTCTAACTTTCCAGATGGTGTTTGGTTTTCTTTTTTTTTTGGTGAGTAGTTAACTTCTGGATCTTCTGGTGCTAACCACGTATGTGCACGTAGCTACTAAATGATTCTGGGCTGTTACTTCGCTTTGCATAATGGAATAATATTAAATTACTTGTAATGTTTTTACTTTAACATTTCAATTATTATTAAGCATACTTACCTTATTCTAAGCTTATAAAATGAGAGGCAGTCGACTACTTCCCTGTTCGGTGCGATATCTTCTAGATCCGATCGCCTTGCGCGGGGGGTTTATTAACGAATACATCCATTTATCTTGCTAAAAAGTAGAATCTCAAAATAAGCCGTATCAGGGCATTTATTCGACACGAATTTCATCGCGCTCACCCCGCGTTGCTGCAGCACAGCGACCGCGTGTGTCTAACTGGCAAAATACGCTCTATTTGCTTAGCTTTTACGTTTTAACTTAAATGAGCTCAGACACACGCGGGCGAGGCTGGCTTGGATTTGGTCTACGCAGCGCCACGCGCGGCGGCCGGGCGGTGACCGCGTAGTTGCATTATTCAGAGGAATTTGAATGTTTTTACGTAGTAAATAGAATTCAAATTCGCCATTAATGTATATGAAGGCGTGGTAACTGGGCGGTCGCCGCGCGGCAGTCGCGTGAAATCTTTCTCGTCGTGTAACTGGGCGCTAATGGTTTGACCTATCGTGTCTCTAGCAGAGGCCGTGAGCTCGAATCCAGATTCGCACTTCTGAGTTTCTCGGAATTTACGTGCGAAATGTAATTTGAAATTACAAATCGCGGTGAAACCTACATGTCGAAGAAGGTTCACACAAGCTTCGGAAAACGTGTAAAAGTGATAGAAGATGATGGATTGAGAACGAGATATATAGATATATCATTTTGAATCCCTCAAAAAAAAATAATTATACCAATATAATTATTAATTTTTTTATACATGAAAATAGCATCCAAGTATATTATAATTATGTAAACTTTAGTATCATTTAAAGTAATATTGTAACAAAAGTTTGGATTACACGATTTTTACGCTGATAGCCTCAATTGTAGTTTGCGCTTTGTCGTCTAGCGCAAATCAAAGAGGGCGCTTTGTTGTAATGGGGCATTGAGTATATAACCAGAAATAGAGACGAAATGTCATTTAATTTGTTTGAAAACTATTCTGCCAAACCATTTCGGTGACAACTGCGTTCCGATTGGCCAGCACGAATTCAAAACAATTGACGGGTGTCGTCAATTGTTTCACTTCAAATCGACCAATTAACTTGAGCTTTGCTATAATGGACGTAAATTGAAAAATTACATATTTAATATTTAATTACCGATGAAATGTGATTCCGTTTGTTTTGTAATTAGATGTTTTGCTGTTTTTCCCACACGTAGTACACACAATAGTTGCAGTCTTTATTACAATAAATGTAGAATATTTTCGGAACATACAGAGACGTACACAGGTCAGTTGTTGGCGCTGTACTATTTCAGCTTTCGATTTTTGTGATTTTAGTGCAAACCAGAGTTGATATTTATAAGGGCCATGTGCCTGATGAGTTTTCAGGGATGGATGGCCCTTATTTCGTCTCTATTTCTGGTTATATACTCGATGTAATGGGGTAATGTTACCACACTGGAAAGGGAAGTAGTATTTAGATAATTTCATAAGCTTGGAATAAGGTGTTGAAGTTTAACTTAAATATTGTTCGGCTTATTTATTTCTTAATTTTAAATTCAGTTCAAAATATGAGAATTTTTAAATATGAGAATATGAAAATATGAGAATTATAAATTTTGCTTATAAAATCTGAACAATAAATATCATTAAATATTAAAATCTCATTAAAAACTACCTTGTGTAACAAAATGATGATACATACCTTTTTTTTACAGAGTCCAATCACCTAAAAAGGCAAGTATACCTCGACGCCTGTCCCGCAGTGCAAGTAAATTTGCCGCTAACTTCCAAAATAACTCTCAAGGTAACCCTCCACCTGTTAACGTTCACACTCTTTCCAACCCTGATGACATGAGCTCAAGCCTCCTTCGAAGCGATTCTGAACATAGTCCATCAGGCAACATCAACCCTTCAACCAATTTCTTCGGAAACTTTAAAGGCTTCTCCTTAACTCCTGTTGAAAAATCGCAACAGCAAAAAGAGGATGGAGCACCTGTTATTGACAAAAATGCCGTCAAGACTATCGCAGATAGTATAGCAAGCAAAAGCGCAAAAATAACTCCAGTACATAGAAGTAGTAGTAACGCTCAAACTGTTATTAGTCAAGGAGCTCTGAAACCTGTTTTGAGGTCAGCACCTCCGTTGCCTGTCGTACCTAAGACATCTAAAGTGAGTCCAAGATCAAGCCCTTCAGTCAAAAGAACTAATAGCACCGTTCAAGACAGAATTAAAGCGTTTATGAACACGGAAAAGGCTGAAAATTTACCACCTATTATTGCCAATCCACCTCCAAGACCAGTCATATCGAGTCCTATTCTCGAAGCTTCCACATGCACTGCTAAAGAATTGATATCACCTTTGCAAGGTTCCAAAACTCTTGGCCCAATAAGACCTGCTCCAACTGTGCCGTCAGATTCGCCCGACATGCCAAAACGGCCTCTAAGTATGCATTCTGCTGGTAATTTTCCCCAAAAACCATTGCCTGAAGAACCTAAGAAAGTGAAAGAAGGCATCTCATTAAACAGAATAGCTTCGTTTTTAAAACAGGAGAAACCAAAGGAAAAGGCACGTAATCCCGTAGAAAGAAGCCACTCTTTACCGAAAAATCCAATTCATCAAGTAAAGATTCCAAAAACTGACAAAGGAGGCTTAAGAAATTTGCCAATCTCAAACCCGATTTTGCAAAAACAAATCGAATTACCGGTTAACACAGTGCCTGTTGTTTCTGATTCGGAAGACGGAGATGAAACTAAGTCTTTTGTGAATAGAGCTCAAAGTATGAGAGCACCTACAACACAAAAGCCTGTGTTACAAAGTTTTGCTTCCATGAGACAGGCCCCTGGAGTTCCGAGACCAGTTTCAGTAGTAGGAAGACCGACTGCTCCTCCACCACCGTTACCCAACGATACACCAGTCTATCAACACCCAAAACCGCTATCTGAAATTAAATCTTCAGACTATGTTGACTGTATTGAAGAAAAGCAAGCTCCATTAGCGCACATAGATGAAGAGTCTAGTGATAATATTTACGCAATTATTGAAGAAAGCCCACAAAAGGTTTCAAAACCCTTACCTGGTGAAACTCAACCGTTAAAGACTATCCACCAATCGACTCCCGAAGGCTACAATACTCCTAAACCTCTTTCTTTAACTTCTGGAAGTACGGAAAGCGTGGGTTTATTAGGAGAGATTGTAAATGAGATACAGAATCGAAACTTCGACTCTATTTATTCGACATCAACGCTTGCTAGAAAGAAAAAAGCTATGGCTGAAAATCGGGACAGCACTTATATGAATGCGGATCATTATAGAACTCCAGAAAGTGTTTATAGTAACACTGGAGCGAAATCCAATGTCTCTACGACTAGCAGTGGCTATTTACACCCTTCTGCTGTAAATGTTCCTACTTACCTGAATAAGCCAGACAATGTGAAACAAGAAGAGAAGACACCGCCGTCGCCTACTGCCAAAGCCAATACTAAAATCCCTACTATGAACAAGCAAGTTACGCCTCCCCTGATAAATAGACAAATAACTCCACCAGGTCTGAAAACGACTACTTTTAGAAATGTACCGCAGTCACCGAAAAATACACCTAAAAATGTGAATATAACACCTAAACTAGCTAACAGCCCCGATGTAGTTTCGAGCTGTGCTGTTGAAACTAAAAACGTGAAACCTCCAGATGTGATAAATAACAATAAAGTCAACGATGCGCCGAAAGTGGCAACTAAACCTAACATAACAAACAAACTTAGTGATAATAGACCTCCGTTAAGACCCGCTCCTGCAGTTGAGAAAAAACCAAGTTTAAAAGTAACAACATCCATAAAACCAGTTACAAATTCGAACACAAGTCTGAACAAAGTAACAGATAAAACATCAGCCTTAAAAAGTACCAATTCGAAAACAGACAGTAATGTTAAAGCTATAGCTGATAATTTAAATAAGAACAAACCGAAAGTGGTACCGAAACCTAGTGCGATTGTACAAAGAACTGATTCAAATGTGAAATCGATTGGAGCAAAATTAACGTCGAAACCTTCCAATGTTGCAAGTTTACAGCAAAAGTTTGAAAATAGGAAATCCATTGGTAAAGAAATAAGTACGACGAAAAAATAGTACACTGCCTCGAACATAATGAAAATTACGAGTTTTAGGAGACTATTCTTTCATTCAAAGATAAAAAATCGTATTCGACTCTCACACTAATATTTGTGTTAGCTCGAGAGAAATATTTGAAAATGAATACCTGGTAGTTGTAATTAGAAGAAGATGATACACATATTTCTAGTCGATAATATATGACAGTATAACAAATATATTATAGGATTTTCCCCTTCCTTTCCTTGCAGATTATAGACCATTTTTCCCATTGTCCGAAAATCATATTGACGGTTGTAAGGAACAAGAGGCTAGACGACATTTTTGAAATGATCAGGGAGCGTTTTAAAGTTTGCAAATTCAGGAATTAAATCATTAAAAAATCGCCAATGTAGCCAACTTTAATCTACTGTTTTAGAAGTATTCGGAATATCCCGGCTGGTTCCGAAATGTACTTATATAAAACACTTTTTCGACTTAGGTATCGCTAACCCTTTTAACCTTCCAACCGTTGCTAAAGACAATTTAACTGATTTTTTTGGAAATAAAAGATTTTTTACACAAACGATATTAATATATTTAAAGATTACTAGACAATGCCAAAAAAAAAAAACAAATCCGAACCAATTCTGAGAAGTTTACAGAATATAAATATTAATTTTAAGAATTTATTTTTCTGTATCTTTAAAGAAAAAATATTTATCTTTAAAATAGAAAAGAGACTTGTGAAGTGTTCATATTTTAATATGATACAGCATTTTGATGTGTAGCAAAATAATTAATTTGGCGATTATGACAAACGATTTCATGTAAACGTAAACTAAATAGAGAGTGAGGTGTGCTTGTTTAATAAAGGTATCGATATCGCCAAAAAACAATCAGCTTAAACAAAATTATTTAATTCAGGATAAAAATATTATATTGATGTAAAATAACAGATTTTTCTTATTTCTGAAGCAGGAAGTTCTAACAACACAATGAATATAGTTGTATGTCCGGTTTGCGGTACTTAGTTTTAGTTCAATTTAGTAAAATTTTAGTTCAGTTAATCGTTTGTCCGAATCGTCATCTTTTGTATGTAAAAAAGCTAGAGTTGTATTTTAAAATATTATATTATGTGGATTTTTACCTGATGTAAATAAATGACTACCAGGAAAATTCATATATATATATATATATTAAGAGATCTCTATGAACATTAATTTCTTTAAGTAACTTTCATTTTGAACAAATTGTGAAGTGTCTTAAAAGAATATAGGTACAATAAATGTTTGATTTGTATTTTTATAAAGACTTTAGTCGTAATTGTGTGATGTGTACATATTAATTTCATTTATTATTGTTTAAGCATAATTTACTTAAAGCGGTACAGACATTATTCTACATTTAGGCCAATAAAAGGCCAATTTTTATTGAATTTTCTTTTATATTTAATAGTAACTGGAGAGAAGGTTGCCTATGTAGGCAGGTTACATTAGTGGTGTGGAATTTTCTAAGAACTGTGTAATTTCTTCCAATGACTACACCAACAGCCGCGCCGTTGAGCGTTATAAGGTCATAAGTAACTTGATAGTTTTTAGTAGTTATACGTCAGTCTCTTTTAACTCCTTTTTTGCAGCCCTACATGTTGGATAGTGTATGGACCCGCTCGTAAAAAAATAAAGCGTACCTATACATATAAGAGTGTTGATGCAAATATTACATAATTTAAATTTACCGTAAATGTAGGTAAAATAACATATTATGTGTATTTTTGGTGCTAGAGCAATACATTTTGCCGTATTTTTCACATAGCTTACTATTTTTATATACCTTAGCACCTAGCAGATTATGAAGCTTCACATTAAATCAGCAATATCATGAGATCAATAATGTTAATACAAGATAAATATACATTTAATAACTGGTTTATAATTTAGGACCTATTAATAAGCCAACATATTGAATTGCAGAAATTTGTGTCTCGAATATCGGGCAATATTTAGGTAACGAATGATTTGCTTTGTTATTTGTCAATGAGTTTGGCTGTGAATAGGTCCCTTTTACGTGTTTTATACCGTTTTACATTAAAAATATACCAGTGTGCGCTAGGTAGTTGTGTCTATAGTCATTCGTCCGTAGTCATTATTTCACTGCCATTAATGTGTACAAAAATATGGTGCTGTGCCTCACAAATGTAAGATTTAAATGATTTGTTCATTAAATGTTCATATTCTTATCTACTGCAATAAGTTTTATGATAGAATTTGACATTATATGCGTTAGCAAGACCTATTCACTCGTGACCTATTGCACTCGAGCACGCGTGCATTAGCTAACATGTTTGCAATTAATTCCAAGGATTCGCACACGAACCATTACGCTTCCACATTTATATTGCGAACGGCTATGAAGTGGAATTCCCTTCCTGCAGATTTGTTCCCTGAACGGTGTAGTTATACCAGGGCATTTTCAAGGCGAGAGTGAATAGGCGTTTTAGGTGTGCATGCTCCGTCATCGACTTCATCATCACTTTCCATTGGGAGAGACGGAGGTCATATGCGCACTTATTTAAAAAAAAATTACAGTAATTTATTGTAAACATGTTGGTTAACATGGTGAACGTGTTCGCTAATGAAAGTTATGAAATTGACACCACAATCGATTAGATATAGCGGAGGATTTGGTGTATGGAGCACTTAAATTTATAAGATTGACAAGCGACTCTAGTATTACCATATTCTGCAACTAATTTCTGGGATTAGACTTCAGAAGACCACATAAGCCCCACCATTTCATAGTCGTAAAGTCAGCCATTAAAAAACAACTCAAAATTTATTAATATTTAGGTAAATTGATTTAAGTACTGCATTAAATATTGATTGTCTTAAAATATCTTTTTAAAAAAGACTGATTTGCATGTATTGATTTGGTGTGAAAATACATTTTTTGATTAAATTTTAAAATTTAATTCCACATTAAAATTAGTTCTATTTAAAAATATTTTTTATAAATAGGTAAAGCTTCTAATAATGTTATTTGATAGTTGTGACATCATATACAACTGAAGTACATAAAATATTGTAAATATTACCAAAGAAGATTATGTAAGTCGTTTCACAGTTATTTTTATGTTTGATTGATGTAATTTCATTTGAAAACTAAGGGCCGGAAGAAGCCGTTACGTACGTTATTGCGGATTAAAATAAAATTTAGGATACATTTTTGTTTAGACTACATCACCGGTACGTTATCTATAATTTTGTGTTTATTTCTGCATTCTTTCGGTCTTTATTAATACACATTCAATTTAAATCCATTCGAATATATCTTCATTACGTAATTGAAGATACCATAAATTCGAACGTATTTGAAAATAACGGCGTAAAGGCTGGCAATTTAGACTTTAACCCTTGCATGCTTTAAAAATATATATAAAAGTAGAACAAATTTTTGTTAGATATTGTCATCATGACCGAAGCGCCAACATTTCAGAGTCCAAAAGTAATTGTCGGCCTTGAAGTATCGTTTATCTGTTAACAGGACAATTTTTGAAAATTAGAAATAACTAAAGTTTTAACTACAGCTGTGAAAACTTTTATAATTATGTTAAATGTATTGAGAGCGTGTTTGAAAGAATATTGTAACTTTTACTTCGTCGCAAGACTGTGAAACATTTATAAAAATATATTTTTAGCAGCACTTAAGTTAGCTTTAGGCGCATTAGAAGGATTTTTTTGACTTTGTTAATGTAATAAAAATTGCTGGTCATTGGAGTAAAATAAAACTTTACTCAATATTATTGGTTTTTTTTTTAATTATCCACATATAAATATTATACATATAGCCTGTCTTTTTTGAAGATGGAGTAAAATTTAATAACAGTTCGTTGTGCAAAAATATTGACTGCTTGCAAGCAGCTAGTGATGGCATTCGATAAATATTCTATCTACTATCGACTGAATGTTGGCCACGCTTATGCAATAAATCCGCCCATTATTCGTCGATCTGCTCGTCATAGGTCCTTTTGATACATTACATACACATTTAGAAATATGTCTATTCAAATGTAAAGACATTGTAAAGTTTAATTTAATAATCCGCTTGTTCTCATTCAAACGTATATGAATTATAATTAATTTCCGTATTAGTAGGCCAATTGTAAAAATAAGAATAAAGAAGGTAACAGCGCAAGTCGTAATCATTACATCGTAACATTTACAATTCAGATATTTTTGGCAAAGCTACATGGTCTTTCACAATCTATCGATAAAACTGTCGACAATAACTATACGACTATTTAAAATTTTAAAAACACTGGCAACCATGCAAATACATAATAATAATAACGCACACACTCAACATGGCACTAGGGAAACCCTGTGTCGCGGGTGCCATGGACACACACATAGACAACCACAAATTACACCCAAACTCACGAGATAAATGAATGTAGGCCATACAAATATTTCTCCTGACCCGGGAATCGAATCTGGGACCACTGCGTGGCAGTCCGGTATGGTAACCGTTCGGCCACGGAGGCAGTTTTGGCAAATGTCATTTTACTCCGTCTTCAAAAAAGGCGGACTATAATAGTCTGATCAAGATATATTTTGACAACACCTTGGTGGATGTTCTAAGCGTTTTCTTAATACTGATATTTTTCGAAAAAGCTCATCTACCGCCTCTCAAGCAGGGGCCGTGAATTCAAATCCGGGCTTGCACGTCCGAGTTTCGGAATCGATGTGCGAAATTTAATTTCAAATGTATAATGGGCTTTTCTGTGAAGGAAAATATCGTGATGAAACCTGCACGTCGAAGGTTCACAACCCTCGGAAACCGTGTGAAATCCCCAACCCGCTTTGGGCCAGCACCGTGGCGGACTGTAGCCTAAACCCTTGCCTGAGAGGGGACCCTTGCCCAGTGTTGGGCGTTAATCAATTAAATTTCAATCAGAAATTCAATCAGATTAAAAAATCAATTAAATTAATTGCAATTAATTTTTTTAGTTGTTCTAAGAAACAATTGAAACTAACAATTAAAACCGAAAGTAACGAATAAAAGTATCATTACGAATATGGGTTAGGGGGTCGGTTGGGGGGTCGGTTGGGCGGCCGGTTGGGGGGCCGGTTGGGTGGTCGGTTGGGGGGCCGTTTGGGGGGCGGTCAGAACAATTAAATTTTGCCCAACACTGCCTATTTTGCGTGTGGTGGGTGCAGGGTCCTACTCGTGCCACCCAAGCTCCTCCAGGAATCTCGGCAACCTCCTCGGTTTGCTGAAGATTTCGAGAGATTTAGAGTATTCGAATGGAGTGATTCTTTATTCTTCTCGCTATGATTGCTTCTGCTGCCAACTTAATACCCATGCATTCAGCCGGGAATACTGTGTTGTGGTCACTAAGCGGTCTTGATATCCTGATATTGAGGTCTTCTGAGAATACCCCAGTACCTGTTCCTGAATTTGTTTTTTATCCATCAGTGAAGACGCGGACCTCTCTGGGATTCAGTCCTTCGTTGGGATCTTCAAACAATTGTACCTTGTATTGTTTGTCAAAAATGTATTGTTTCGGGATCCTATCCACAGCCTATCCAGTTACCAGTTCAGTATTTCTGTATGTGGGGTTCTCATGTGCTTCCAAATGCCTGCTCTGTTTGGACGCACTGCTGTTGACGCCGCTCCCTGCCAGATGAACAGTGGGAGTGGTCGCAGGTCCAGCATCGCTTCGATGGCCGTTGGAGTGGAGTTGGAGTTGTTCTCATGCAGCCCGTCGTCGCCACGCAAGCTAGTCTTAGGAATTTGTCCAGCTTGTCGGTTGCGGTCGGCAGATTGTCGTCCATAACATCCACTTTTTGCAGGTTTTGAAGGCATATTTTATTTAAAAAAAATATAGTCCTTGAAGTCGATCATTTCAAAAGCCTTGATGATGAAAAACTTAACGAATGACTTAACGAATTAAAGAATGGGCCTTTTAAAGCAAATAATTCTGAATGCCCCCTTTATGGACAACTTTACTTGTGACAAGCGTTGATGTGATATAAAGGGATGGTAATTACAGTGCAGTTAAAGTTTGAAGGTATAAGCTTAAGGCTTGAACCTTAGAGGATGGAAATATGGCTTGAACAATCGCGAATGACTTTGACGATTTGACCTCTAAGCAGTAGTAAACAATTTCATACGCCATCTATCGACCACTCGCTTGTACTTACACAAAGTCAAATAAAGGTAAGTTGCAAGTTAGAATACAGAAGAGTCATAAGTGTTTTTTTGCTATCTATACCTACGTTGTTGTTCCCTCAGAGACATTCGAGACTAAAACTCGTAATAGCATAAATAGTGAACGTATCAGGTAAATCGTGCAATGATTCGATCATTACATCCTATCAATTAACAACTAATACTACTATTTTCAACTATAAAGGAGAAGTAGAAAAGAGTAGTAAAATTAAAACATATACTTTTATTGGCTATATTTTAAATGGATTTAACAAACGTCAATACATACTAATTAATTATGCGTCATTGAAAGTATAACTTTTATGTATTATTTATTCAATTTGTTTTATACAATACGTAAATAAACACTTAGATTAATAATAATAAAAAAATAAAAGTGATTACGACCAATACGACTAATTTGGTTTTAACTGATGGAAATGCCAACAATAGGAAGTACACAGTACCTACAGTATAACGATTATATACTTCGCGAGGTTACATAAATATACATTAAAATAGGTACTTTATTAACTAAATCGTTAACATTAAAAAGCGTCAAAATGTAAATAGCGAGAACAAGTAGTTTAATTGGAATTGGAGTACTATTACTAATATTCTGATTGAAGCATGGGTTCGTCGTCACGAGAGCAAATATTTGCGATATTTTCTGGATCAGTGGTGGTTTAATTTCTTTGTTTTCTATTTTCTTTCAAAGAAAACTGCAGCAAGCTGCGGTGGGCGGAAAATGCAACACAGTATAGTTTCATTTCTACTAAATAAAGTGGGTATGTCTTAGTGTCCCGCGGTGCAGCGCGGCGCAGCCTGACGTCACCAGCTTGTGCCACCACGGGCGGTACAAAGTGTGACTAGGCTTCTCAACAATAAGGTATATTTCTTTATAAGACAGACATTGGCTGAGCGACATCGGACTGCTTAGGGCGAACTTGCAATACAATATAGAACTTCATATGTGCTATATAAAGTGAATATTTCTACTCACGGGAATCTGCTTTAGGAAAGGGTAGTCGTGTTTTAAGCGATTTGTTGATTTTACATACAAATAAAATATAAGTACATATAATAATTCAAATAAGACGATCTTGGTGGTCCAACAGTTGGCACTGTTGGCACTGCATGAGAAAGTTTCAGGTTCGATTCCCGGCAGAACCAATTACTAAAATGGTTTTGGCCTACTAGGTGTTCTGGGCAATACCGCGGAGTGTATTCCGTAGCTCTTGGTCCCGGGTTCAATTTCGTAAATGAACTTTTCTAAACTGGTTTTGGCGTAGATGTTCTGGGTAGTGCCTTGGAGTGAATTCCGTAGCTCATGGTCCCGGGTTCGATTTCCGGCAGAACCAATTTGGGAAATGTACTTTTGGCTGTTCTGTTGCCAACCACCTGGTCTCCAACTAGGGAACTCCCTGTACTCCTTATGAGTACCAGAGCAACAGAATACAAACATGGGCATTACCAGAACACCCAGACCAGTCCCAAGTTCAGAAAGTTCAATTCCCAAATTTGTTTTACCGGGAATCAAACCCGAGATCCAAGGACAACGGAATTCACTCCGCGTTTTTACCCATACTATTTACGCGTATTAATCATCCAGTGCTATATTATTTGCATGATAATCATTGACTTACAGTAAGTCAATGATGATAATGTACAAATTCCACGCTTCACCTTAGTTTTATTTTTATATCGGCATATCTATATTGTCTAGTCTTTGGTAGTTATTAAAAAAGATTCAATGTAAATATAACGAAATAACTAATTTATAAAATCTAAAATATAAAAACAAAGTCAAATGTATTTAAACAAACTAAATTTAACACAAATAAAAGTGAAATTAATTAAAAACAACAACTGTTTGTGGCATAAACCCGCTCAAAAACACACGCGCAGTCTACCTGTCGCAAATCCTGAAAGGCGATTGAGCGTAGTACTGCACAGAGCTCGCGGGTGGAAAGAAGTTATTTTTTTTCAAATAATAACACTTAACTTACGAACTGTATAAGTTAAAAAAAAGTGAACAATACATTCTATCTGAAATTAATAATCTATTTTTTTGTTCAAAATTTATAAACAACAGATGTTTGCATGTAAAGAGAAATTGCTTTTTATTCAATTTGAAAGTGTAACTTTAAATTTTATTTCATAGAAATGTGCTTAATAAATTATAATTTTGCTCAATACAATCAGTTATTTAAGGACTACTAGCAATCATATATTTTTTTTGTAATTATTGGGCTATTATCAGGAATTTAATTTGAAAAGAGCCTAATTTCTCAAATTGGCACCTGTTCCAGCCTAAAGTGGAATAAAATAAAAATGGAATTATATAATTAACTTTATTCTATTTGAACACACAATTCATTAGTACTTAGGTTTGCTTACAAATTATCCACTGAAAAACGTTTTATTGCTTGTTTCAATATACACGCTTAAAATAGTATGTTTTAAATGTAACAACCAAATTGTACTTTTTGAGAAGGTAATAAAAATAGATACACCACAAAAAACAATGTTTAATTTTTGCATAAAAAATAAAGGTAATTTTGGAAAGGTATGAAAAGCTATTTTCCTGCAGCAGTTGCTAGTGGATTTCTTAATACTAGAATAACAGAGTCGCCACGGAGAAACATCTTTGAGATAAATCTGTCTTTGTTTACTGCTTTTCCCTGAAAAAGCAAATATAATTAAGGCAAGTGTATTGTTTTGAAATATCCGCTTTGAAGTGGATGTAAGTGTTTCCTAGATTATTATGTATAATGTATACTTCGTTTCAATCCATTTTGAACAAAAAGTAAACAAACAAGTCACTGATCCGACTATAGACGGTTTAGTGATGGCCAAAATCATCAAATGAAAGTCATAGAAGTATAGATGAATTACCTCACTTTTGGAGTAACGTTTTTCAAATATGATTTTATGATACTGTTCAAATGAATATTGTTGGGAAAGTGATGATATATCAGGTAGAGATCTTTGAAAGATACGTGAAAGTGTTACTTATTCGATTTATTGAGTGATTGCTTTAGAATTTTAACCAAATAGTTTTTTTTACTTTTTGTTCAAAATGGATTGAAACAGACTATAAGAAACGTTTCTTCATTTTGAAATAATAAATTAACAAAAAAACAAACAGTCCATTACAAAGAAAACATAAATTACTGAAGAAAAAGAGAAACTAATGATTAGGGAGTATGGTCTAGGACCTTCGGAAAAAAGAAAACATAACCTCAAAGTGTTTTACAACATTAATGTTTAGAGCGTATTAAATACACAAGTAGTCTTTTAAACGCACGGTACCTTCTTGCCCTTGCCTGTTCTAGGTACTTCTGTCCACATTTCTTTCACATTCTCAAGCACCATGTTACAATGCCGATCAAAAGCTTTCACGCGACCAAGTAACTTCTTATTGTTTCTACAGTTGATTAGCACTTGCGTATTATTTTTTACGGACTGCGTAAGGACAGAAAGAGGGCCAGTACTAAATTCCTCCTCCTCAATTTTAGCGATCTCCTCTAAAGACAGCTCTGAACGTGGCTTTGTAGCTGTTGTCCTGGAAACACCGAATAATTAAAAAAATGTGTACAAATTTATTATTAGACATGATACATTAGTTTTGGTAAATACACTTACATTTTAAACAATTTCAACAAAACTTAACACAAGAAACTAATCAAAATCCGGAAAAGTACGCTCACCCGCAAAGTAATAACATGAAACCACAGATGAAAACAAAGAAACTTCAAACTGCACAATGTCAAAAAACCATTTCGTTAGAAAATCAAAATTAAAGCACGTGGTACCACTTCAGTTTTAATATTAATTTAATTTGAGTATTGGCTTAACAGAGCCATCACCTTAAAAAGATAATAAAATTAATCATAATGCAAATAAATATGAAACACCAAAACATAATGTAACTAAAATATACAGCAGATAAACTGATTGATAGGGGGCATTCATTAGCCTGCATTGCAGTCCGCCTTACCGTCCGTCCGCCGCGTAATGCTGGATGATGAATGAACGTATATAGTTCACTAAGTAGTCTGTGGATGAATGTAGTTGCAGCATGCAAGCTATCCTGCAATCCTGTAAAGCGTTTTGTAATCCTGCCTGCGCAGCGGACTGCCCTGCAGATAGTGAATAGGCCGTTATCTTACACTTAAGACTCAAGTCCTTGCCATTGGTGTCGTATTTCACTATTTACACTAGAAATACGACTCTAATTGCAAGGACTTGAGTATGATTTCTAGTGCTATAAATCATACTCGAGTCCTTACTTGAGCATTGAGTAGAGTTCTGAAATATGACCCCTAAGTCGAAACATTTCGTACTGAAGAAAAAGAGTAATAATAATAATGACTAGGCAGTATCGTTTCGGACCTTATCCATGCGGTACGAAGGAAAACAAAAAAAACAGCCATTTTTTTTAAATACCACTTTTGTATTATTTATTTGTTGAGCATTGGCTATAGAGCCATCAGCTTAAGCGCGGGAATACACGTCCGATTTCGTTCTGATGGTCGGATGTCGGATACGACTATGGGATCGGGTTCGTCATTCAGATTTCGTCAGACTTTTCTGAACTAACTGCAGTGTTGCCAATTTACGGGGAATTCCCTAAATGCTGGAAATTTCAACTCCACAACTCGTTTGGGGATTTTGTTTGGATTACGCTATGTGGGGCTCAGGGGCGGTCAGGGGCTCAAAAAATATCGTTGCGTATATTTTGTATGAACTCGTTCACACATTATCCGTGTCCGGGCCGGCGCCGGGACGGGCCCGCAGTTCATACAAACTAGAACGCCCCGTCCACGTCCCGGGCACGGTCCTGATGTGTGTGGATAGTCCTTTAAAATACTTACTGCCCGGCTTTGTTCGGCAACAGCTGTATTCTTTTTTCACACCGGGGACCGGTCAAAACGCGAGGAAGGGTCGCGCGCTCAACACGCACCGACTGATCATCATCATCCTATTTAAGAGCGAGGCTCTTGACAGTGACTGATAATAATAGTAATTTTACAATACAAGATAAAGTGATTCTAATTCTACTGGATAATTTTATACATATAAGTGGTTTGCTAATGATTCTACATAAATGTTGCTAAATAAGCAGCGCATGCGAGATGTTGAAAAAAATATCAATATCGTTCATAAACAAACAAATAAAAGTGTTTTTATCAATGATCATCAATGTATCAAAAATATGACAAAATTCTAGAATGCGAGGGCATTTTTCCCACATAGCGTTATCCAAACAAAATTCTCAAACGAGTTGTGGAGTTGAAATTTCCTGCATTTGGGGAATTCCCCATAAATTGGCAACACTGCAGTTAGTTCAGAAAAAGTCTGACGAAAGAATCGGACGTGTATTGAGTGAATCCGATCCGATAGTCGATCCGACTATCCGACACAAAATTGGACGTGTATTCCCGCTTGAAGAAACTCGAAACGTAATAATAGACTAAAATCAATTTATGAAAAAACTAAATGCAAAAAAAAACCCGCCATTTTTTCATACCACTTTTGTTTACATTGCACTTATTTAGCACACAAATTACGTAGCACAATTATCTAAACTGAGATACCATAATTCATTTTCCACCGTGTCTCTTTTTGCCTCAATAACATGCTCGGTTATTACTTAACAATAGCGCAATATCTGCTGGGAATTTCGAGCTAATCGTTTTGCCGGCTTGAGCTAATGATTTTGCCAAATATCTGAAACAATCGTAGATTACGCTTATTTTTGGGGATTAGTGCTGATATCGCGACAATTTAATAAACAGCATTACATCTAACTATTTCCAGTCGCTGCATCAATTGATTGTTTGAAAGGTGAGCAAATCTATTGATTTACTGCTATAACATTGAAGTTCCACATGGTTTTGTTGTATTTTTACTTAATTACAATTATTGATATGATAGAATAAAAAGTGCTTTCGTTTCGTGGTACAGGCTCATTAACTTACGAGGCTATTATTGTAACAAAAAATCTATCTATGTACGTATCTAGCTAAGTGTATACCAAATAATCGATGTTTTTCATTGGATTGTTATTATTTGTCTCTAACTGAATAAATTATAGCTCTCACAAGTTACAGTAAGCGTAATGTTATGTTAACGTGTTCTGGATGTTCAATTAAGTACTCATAATAAAATATTATTATGAGTCCTT